TCAACCCAACACCACGAGCTATTGCCACGTAATCTCCCCGTCAATGTCATGCCGTCTGTGGCATCTGGATCCAGCTGCAGCAGGAGTTTGGCTGAATTGTGTGCAGCAGTCCCTCGGCCAATGTGACCACTGACCCATGGATTGGAGTGCGCACGGTTCGCCCTTTGAGTAAGAAGTCCTTGTTCACCCCTGCCTCTCCTGAGTTTCCTCAGGAGAGAAAACCAGCTGAAGCTGGAAAATATTGGATTTGCACCCAAGACCAATCCAGTTTATTTTGCCATCCTGGACTGAAAAAGGAAATGACTCCCTCTCACACACCCCCGTCTCCTCTGGAGTCAAAAGTCCAAAGGACCAGCTTTGCAAACAAGTTGTTTTGCCAATCAAGGATCTGTCCGTTCCTTTTTTCTCCCTGTATTTATTTACTTCTCTCTGGCCTTCATAAATCAGGCGGGGGGGGGGGACGGGGACAAAATTGTTACCAGAAAAAGAACAGGAGGACAATAACAAGAAAGTCCCCCCCCCCCAAAAAAAAAGTCTCTCTATCCTGGGAACGCAGTTTGCCTTCAGGAGATGCTCCGGTGCTGAATCTCTTATGACGCTCTGAGCCGCTGAGCCGCTTAATTGCAATTCACAAAAATAATCTACAGCGGCCTGGGATTAGACAGCCTGTGAATGAATCCATTTTTCGGAGTCTGTGCAATAATGCACGAGTCGTCCGTCGAGCTAATAGGCAGCACTTGTTCAAGATGCTAAATTCTTTGGAAACTAATCCAGGTTAAAACTAACCAAGTTTAGCAGGCAATGCGAATGCAGCTGCTAGTTGCTTCGTAATCTGGATAAGCAGATTGGGCTGGCGTTGGGATGGGTGTGTGTGTGTGTGGCTCGGATGTCCTCTCATCGCTAAGCCCCCAGGTTCACCCTTCTGAAATGCAGTTTGTGATCAATTCCTTCTCTTCTGCCTATAGCAGCTTTCGGGAGGAAAAACACAAACACAGGAGATTAAAAACGGGACCGGCGCATCTGTGCCATCGAAGTCGACGTGATTGTTGATCATTGAAATAGCGCAGAATTAAAAGCGGGGAAAAAGAGATGATCTTTTGCCATTCGATGCGGGACTAGGATTACAGATTTACAGAATAACATGGTTGGAAGGGACCTTGGAGGTCATCTAGTCCAGGGGTCCCCAACCTTTCGGACCTCAGGGACCACTAAATTCATAATTTTAAATCCCGCGGACCACTAATATGATCTGCCTAATGACAGGCTGGCTGGGCGTGGCAAGGTGGTCATGTGACAGGGTGGGCGTAACCAACTGGATGTCACTCATGTCAAGGGGCACTTCTCCCGCCTCTGCTCGCCCTTCCCTTCCCAGTCATTTCTCGCCTGAGCCCACCCGGGCTCCTTAGGGCCCCAACAGGGAGCCGTTGTTGGAGCGAAGCAGCCACCAGGAGAAAGAGTTGGCAAAGCAGCTCAGTTCAAATTGGATCTGACCGAGAAGGAGGCTCAGCAGAAGCACCTCACTGAGGACTA